GGACACTAGCAGTTGCAGGGAACAGGAGAGGTTTCATGTAGAAGAGAATGGCTAAGTTGTGTCTTAAAGAAAGAGAGTAACTCTGTGAGGAACTGGTAAGAAGAGAGTGGGTTCTGGGTAAGGTGGACAACCAGTGCAGAGACAGCTATGTGTGAGAAACAGAAAGGAGGACAGCTTGGCTGGGTCAAAAATGTGGGAAGAAGAATAATGGCTAATGAGGATGGAAAGAAAAGTTGGATAAAAAAGGATGAGTTCTACCCCAAAAGACAGAACTGGTGCCAAAGGGCTAGAAGTTAAAGGGAGACATATTTTATCTCAACATAAGGAAGAATGTGTTACTTATTAGAGCTACCCAATAATGGGGCACCCCTACAGTTCAAGCAAAACATTTGTCCAGGATGTTTGTTGGGAGGATTCATACTTTAGGCAGGGGTTGAACTAGATGAGGTCCTCTCCTAAACAAAGATCATGTGAATCATGTATAAGAGGGATCATATTGCTTGTCATCTTAATGACTGGAGAAGGGAGAGTATTTGGAACTCAAAATTTTTAAAAAATGAATGTTAAAAAATTAGTAAATAAAGAAAATGGAATCTTTAAAAAAAAAAGAAGACAAACAAGTATATAGAACTATACATTGTCATGGCTGGGATGTGCCAATAAAAAGAAAACTATCATTTAAAAAAGATTATGTGAAGCCTGAACAATGTATTAATTTTCCAGGCAATGCATAGAAGGCCAACATTTCCGTTGAAATCAAAGCCCCTGGTCACAGCAGGCTAGCATAAGCAACTTATTATTCTTTTTTCCACATTCAACAAAGTTTCTAAAATACTTTTGTCTCACATACATGTGTAAAATAATTTTATCATCAATCACTAAATTATTTATCATTAAATTACTAATAAATAAAAGTTAACTGAATTCTTTGGGAATAAGGGTTCCAAAAAATGGAGATAAATTTCCCTTGTAATCCTTGTAAAAATATGTTAGATAAGCAAATAAATTTGGTAAAGGTACAAGGCTTGATGGCAGCTAATAAAAAGGCTGACACTAATGGGGCCATACAGTTTTGGTTTCAAGTCAAAGTGGAAAACACCCTCTCTGAAACCACTAAAATCAATAGATACTATGAGAGGCAAATAGCTCTGTCTTTGGCTTTTCTTCAGGGAACACTAGAAAGGAAATCCCCTTAACAACTGTAGGATTGTCAACATGGAATCATTAGCTTTCTGACCTTTTTCAGGGAGCATAATATGTATGAAGTCCACGAAAAAACCAGATGGGTCTAAAGGAAAATTGGCAGAATTAGACACATGCTGGAAATCCTGGGCACAAGTTAAACCATTTCCATAGACTCAAAAGAATGAAGCTGTTCGACAAAGCTATCCAATACTCAGATGATTTCCTGCCACCCAATGCTTCAGGCCAGTTCTGACACTGGGGAGGGCTGGGAAAACCATTAGGCTACAGTTTAAGCTCCAAAAATCTAAAGTTGGAGATGACATCATAAAGCATCTCTACAATTTTTTTCTGGTCAATGTCCAGGAAACACTTTTACACATTTGGATCCAAGTAGCTTTGTGCTTTTCCTGAAACAATGCCCTATATCATGTGGGATGCAGTAGTACACCAGCCCTAGAAAGCATGACGATGATAACTTCTGTATCTATCACTCTTTTATTTTATTTTTTTTCATTTTAAATTTTTTTATTTTTAACATGTGTTTTTAAAACTTTGGGTTACAAATTTTCTC